TATTTTTTAACTAAAAATTCTCTAAAAAAATACTATTCAAAACATATTTTATTTTTGAAATAAAAGTCACCAAACACGTGCTAAGAAGAAAATAGATGAAATTCATTCATTTAGATGCACCCCGCCTATTTTCTGAAGTTTGAAAATAAATAGCCAAAAAAAGAGTTAGAGAATTAGTGTGCGAATGAAATTAAAGATTGAAAGCCGTCGCTGTTATTTATCAAAATAACACTTAATCAGTACTCAACGAGGATCATCCTCATGTGAAGTGATAATAATTAATAAGGCAAATAGCGAGTCTCGTATTTACACATTTAATTTCTTATTATTTCGTCCAAAACAACTAATCACATCATATGGGATGATTGAATATTGATATGTACAATTAATCTCCTGGCTTGGTAGTAAAAGTAAGCGGTGCAAATTCTCCTTGTCTTTTGTTTGTCCCCTTGACTTCTTTAAGATTTCTTTCTGGCCCCTACTTTTTTATTCTTTCAGAAAAGTAAGGTTGTGCTCTTTCCCCCAATTTTCCTCCCAATTTAAGCATAAAGTAATAGATGTGTAAATGACCGTTGGAGTTATGTTTTATCAACCATGCTACATATACACTTTAATTTACACTCTGCCCTGTGACATAATCGACCTTATTAATTTTGAAGACACGTCACATCATTGCATAGATTCCATCTATACAAGGGGAGAACGTCATCGATGATGTATACCAAAGTGTACATCTAGCATAATTCACGTTTTATACTCCATTACGATTGACATGATTGAGACCATTTACTGTATCCATTATAAATTATTGGGGATAATTTTCAATTTTACCCTCAATTAATTTCTTGTCAATAACAACAGGCGTAGAATGGACTTTTGTCTTTGCCAAACCCACGACTTTATAATATTTGCACAACATAATCTCTTTGCAAGTGGGCTCGTTGAGTTGATGTCAAAAGCGATCTTAATCCAAGCTAGTGCGTCCAGAAAGAAAATATAGAAATTACAAATAATGTGTATAATTTACAATTTACATAAATAAGTATTAAATTATATAATGTATACCAAATTAATTATGTTGTGCTAATTTCATTACTATATAATTTTAGTAGATTTGA